CTTTACTGTTTTCAAGGCGGTGCATTGTGTTTTACTACAGGTGCTTAAGATTTTTTGTCATGGCTGTGTATTCGTTTTTCTCACCCCATCTCTAGCCTCCAAAGAGCCCTGTCCTTATCCAATACAATGTCACCACACAAGATGAACAAGAGAGGCTCAGGGTATATCAGACTTCCTATCAAGCACCAGGAAAGAAAAACTATTCACCACATACGTTGCGTTGTGCTCCGTGTCACGCTCCGTCTGCTCCCACAAGTTGTTTCCATTCTTGAGAAACGCAGTCAACATTTAAGTCATTATCAGGCAGCTGTTGTGGCTTCAATGAGCGGAGCAAAGTCAGGTCGATGCCTGAAGACGGGCTGATAAACATTCTGGCAGGCCTCCAGCAAATGTCCTACTTTATTCGAAATGCGCACTTCGTAGAATTATGGTTTGTTTAGATAGTCCAACACTAAGGTTATTAACAACCAAGGTGTTGACAAGTTTTGCTCGGGAATTGCTGAATGTCTACAGACTACCTAAAACACACTTTTACCAGAAACCACAACCATTACTTAGGCTTTTATTGGAGAAACCCTAACCCTAACCCTAACCCTAACCCTAACCCTAACCCTAGCTCTACGCATCCAATAGAAAAGAAACATCAAAGTAAAGAGATTTTCGTATTAATTTAGTTTGTTTTATGTCACATTTGTTACCTTTCAGAGCTAAGAGCCCGAATAGGACTGTTAAAATAAAGATTAGCTGCGGTTTACTGAGGAGTCTGGTTTATCTACCATGTCTACTTAACTATGGCTTGATTGCCAAAATGTTCAAGTGGGATTATCTGCCACTCATTTCAGTGGTACAACACCTGACTGATGAAAGCCTAGGCGTGATATTGTTTTTGTTCTACGTGATAGCAGATGTAATAATATCAGTCCACAGTCCTGGCGACCATGTTCAGGCCATGACAGCTGCTGTAGCCGCTAGATTTTGGGAGAGACCAACAGCCGCCAAGGTCTATTAGATCGCTGCTTATGTGATGACATGTTTGACTTTGTTGACGAAAGCTCCGTTGACTTCAGTTCTTAGTTTTTGCGTCGTGGAAAATAGCAATTTGCAGATTGCAGAGGAATTTTTGATGTCTGACAGTTTCCATCAGATGCTTAGTGAAGTCTTGATGTCTTTATGAGGATGTCTCATAAATAGGGAGGAGATTAGCACAAGCATGAGCATTAGCTGTTCTAGGGTGCAAACACCGTTTACACACTACAGCCACATAAACACAACACACACAAAGAATCAAAACACCTCATATCATGAAATCAATCATTCAGTCAATAACTACAGAAGAGAAACAACAATTATCATCTTTTCACTCATTATTTAGTTGAAAACAAAATGAACAATCAACCAATTTCTACGAACATTTAGTCAAAGTCCAAAGTCAAAGTGAACTTTAATGTCAATCTTTCAGTTTGTGTGTAAAGACAGAGAAATCGAAATAACGTTTCCAACAATCCCGAATACAAAAATACAAATATTTATATCCAATACATATACAAGCAGAAACATTTATAACACACTTCTACTACAAATATAGTTATTCATGGCAAACAATAGTCCTTGTCTGAAAATACCCTTACATTGTTTATTTATGTATCCTGCGCTTTCAGAAATATTACATTTCAAGGAATATGGTATTAAAATAGAATAATGATTTTAAAATAAATGTTTGAATTAAATTCTCGGCCAAGGGTGATTTCGACTTTCATTCATACATTTAGTTTCTTACACCATAACTCATAGAAACATGTAAAAGACTATACAGGTCAACACATTTCAACTCCGATGGAGCAGAGGTATTCAATCGTAAACATTTCAAAACCAGGGTATTTCTGCTTTTCCCAGAGCCATTTATCTTTGAACATATTGATCACCTAGCATTAGCAATGACTCAGAACCACAAGGCCCTGGTGATAAATGTAATGGTCCTGTAATATTTAGTTTTGTTATGTTGTCCATAAATGTTTTACTGCTCAGGATACAATATAATTCTTTATGATGTCCTGTGGCTTCCTTTATATAAGGTAACCTCTTGAGTGGAGACTGTTTCAAATATTGATGGATAGACAGATGCATGTTTTTTTTTAACCAGAGGACCAATTAATTCCTCAGAAAACATCTGAATCAATATTCATATATGTGTGTGTACTATGAATCACCATATTCTTCTTTGATATGGAGATTATTAAATAGATATTTCCTGTTGTAGCCTAGCAGGAAAATGCTGGAGCATCGAGTCACTTCCATCAAGACAAGTGAAGAAAGAAAAACTCTCTCCGCAGTCTGACAGCGTGACCGAGACTTCAGAGTAACTCAACCTGCTGACATGACAAGCTTTCATGAGCCTCTCACTTTTATTCACACGTGCACACACTCACACATGCATGTTCTCACTCTCGCAAACATGTGCAAACAGTTGCACTTATGCATGGTCACATACATACTGTATGTTAATGCAGGGCCAAAAAGCGCACATGCACACATAAATATGAACATCTTGCTATGACCATTGCAGAAGGTATTTTTTCTCTGATGGTGACAGCAAGTTAAGAAACAAGTACGGAACATTTTGATCAAGAATATAAACTAGTCTATAGTTAATAGTATTAAATAATCGGTGAAAATCCCAATACTTAATTTATCACTGAAAATTGTGTCTGTGAAAGTTGCTCTGTTTTAAAATGAAAATAAGTAAAACATATTTGTTCATATAAACACAAGAAGTTCATGTAAGAATGTGCAATTAAAAGATACATTTATAAATAACATATAATCAAATACATAATAAGCACAAGCAGTTGTGTTGTAACAAAATGTCCAATCAAAAAAATAAAAATAATATAATAATAATATTTAAATAAAGATAACACGTAATAATGTGCTCATTGTTCTACAATATATCAATATAAAATGATTTACAGTAGTAGTAAAAGCTATTCATACAAATGTATACGTTCTTGGAAACGTGCTCTGTTGTCAGGTAATTACTAAGCAAAAATGAACAGAAGTTATAAAAAGTATTTTTAGAAAGTCATATATCTCTACACCTCGATGATTGCAAAGTAAATGTGTTGAGTTAGTCCAGGGTGTCTTTCATGAGAGCGGCTCTGCAGACGTGTCCTGGCAGTCTGTGACACATTAATGCTTCTCAAGCTCTCAGGCATGCATGAAGGCTTCTCATTCCTTCTGGGTGACACTGGTGCTGCGGATCAGTGACTCAACACCTGCTGAATACGGGCCGGCAACTTACACACTGTGAGGCAATCATTACAGATAGAGAGATTTCACAATTAAACAACTCGGATGCTGTTTGACAATTTCTGCCGTTTTTTTCAATGTGTGTGATGTTTTCTTTTGCAACATAAATTAAATAAACACTTATACTTGGTAAGTATATGGCCCTATACCAGAGGTGGAAGAAGTACTCAGATCCTTTACTTCAGTACAAATTGCAATACTACAGTGTAAGAAATACTCTGCCACAAGTAAAGTCATGTATTAACAATCTTAACTAAGCAAAAGTATGAAAGTATTAGCATTAAAATATACTTAAACCATAAGTAAATACTCAATATGCGGATTTTCCATTTGAATTGTCCAGCTTGTAAAGGAGGAGCTACCTTTAATTACTTTTTTACTGCTATGTATCTTTTTTGAATACATAATTTTGTATTTATATATTTTTTATTAATAATATGAATTAGTAAAGTTAGTAAAGTGGAAATATATGTATGAAATTGAAATACTCAAGTAAAGAACCTGAAGCTCAAGATAGTCCTTACTGTAGGTACAGTACTTGAGTAAATCTACTCAGTTACTTTCCAACACTGCCTACTACTTAACGGCCTTGATTCATTCCCCTGCAACTAAGAACCTGCCTTTATGTACTACGGTTGTGGCTGAGGGGTTGAGCGCTAATCTGACAATCAGGGGGTCAGTGGTTCAATCCCATGCTCCTGTATGCATCTCTACGATTATGAAATGTATTTCAGTCACTTTGGATAAAAAACGTGATTTCCTTTGAGCAAAACAATAAATCCACACTAGTTCTATGACAACCGCTAAGATAATTAGGGCGAAAAGAAAAGTATTCCACTGTATTAAAAAATAAAAACACAATGCTTATAATAAAGGAATGGTATAACAGATCGGCAATGGGTTGTTCCTTGCTCTTTGAGCCACATGTATAATTAATCATCTGATTTATAGTGTACTCTACCCTAAAGAGAATAAGTGGTTGTAATTTAAATGAACCAACCGAAAAAAAGGAGTTGTGTTGATATTGTTTTTAGCTTTTCCCCTGAAACCAACAAATGTGTGTGCAGCTTAAGTTTTGATAATTTCTCTTCTCTGTAATATCTGAGATGGCAATGGCTCTCTGTTTTATTATCAATATGTTTTTACAACCACAGAAGACGCTTTAAAGGCTGCAACTGCCCCCTGGGCTGCACTTTTAATATAACTGACCAAAGGCCTCTTTTATTTAGTCCAAACAGCACATTAAGTGATAGACATAAGGGGGAGCTGTAAAGCTTTTTTGAAGAAGCCATTAGGAAAATTACTGTATTAATAACTTGCAGATATACAAAAACATTATAATACTTATATTTAATTGTTTGCTTGATAATTAAACAAGAACATGATTTACCTTTGCCATCTTGATGCCTCATATGATGTGTCTGGCTATTTACTTGCACTTTTTTAAATTGAATTATTGATAATAGATAGCCACAATGATAATAATAATAATAATAATAATAATAATACACTGTGTTGCAGGAAGATGCATAAGATAAAATGTGTATTAATTTATCATCACTAAAGTTGGATTTGAGTAGGCTTTTTACTTCTAGGATGTTCTCAATCTATATTACGACACCTCCATCTAGTGTTGAAACGTAAGAACATTTGTCCCGCCCATTCTTTATTCCTATTGGCTAAAGTGAGCTTTAATGTCGGGCACGTTCTCTTCCCCATTGGCTCAGCCATGTGTCAGTCAAGCCAGATTACGGAAGTGTAGCCCACCCACTACAAAGATGGAGGACGATATCTCAAATTTGAGCAGACCTCAGATGTATTTGTTTGGTAAGCTTGCTTATTCAGGCAAACTTCAATTATTTTTGGTCACACAAGAAATATAACTGTCATATTATTATGCACAAGTAGACATGTATCTATTTTTTGCAAGAGAAAACAGCTTAAATCCTGCCTTCCCCAACTCGCGCCAATTCAGCTCTTTTGTTAGCTAGTCAAACAAAGCATAGAGAAACAACAGCTTTAGCAAAGAGTAAACACCCGCATGTCAGTTTAGTGTATGCATGTGTGTGTTGTGTTCCATATAAATACAAATATAGCGTTATTTACATATTGCACGTATCGTTTTCTGCAGGTTGTACCCTCAAATCCGACAAACGGGAGTTCAGAGTTGACGTAGACGACGATGATACGGAGCAGCAGCTGTCACTCAAAGCAGTAAGGATGGCTCTTTTATTGACTTTCCTTTGCACGTAGATGTACTGAACAATATGTATGTTAAAGAGTAAACATCACAAGGGTTAGATATATATATTATTTAGCAGGTTGTTTTGAAAACTTGAGCCACTTTATTGGAATTGGCTATTCACAGGGTTTCATGTTTCCCAGCTTAATGTCCTTTTAATACGAGGATACCTATCAAATTGCTTCACTTCAATGCACTGTGTGTTACCTTGGGTCAATATATTTCAGATACCTATCTACAGCTTACATCCCAATGATTGTATACCCCTTACACCCACCAAAATGTCCTTGTAAGACAGTGTTCCTGATTATAAACATTGATATACCTGCAGTAGCTGAATTGATTTTCAATGTTTGTTTGTTTTTGAAACATCCATTTCCCCTTTTTCTTTCGCATTTTAGACTCCAAAGATATCAATTACAAGTCTATTACATTGTTAGTTAATATGAAGAGACACATTAGCTCAAAATACAGATCGACCAACTCCAAACAGAACGAGAGCAACAAAACAACTTCTTACACGTAAATATTTAAATGAGTAGGAAGACGGATGTAAAGGGCGACATGTATATTAAGGACTTATATTGCATATATATACATTTTCACTTGGGAACACAAGGATGGCATTCTAGACTTATTACCAGTAAAGTATGTAGTGAAGGGGTCACAATTGAAGCAAACTCAAAGTACAATCCTTAGTACTTTGAAGCTACCAGCAGGTATTTCAGAATTGTAGACCCTTAAGGGAGGAACTAATCATCTACAAAATCTTATAAGTGAAAAAATATGTGAAGGGATATCAGGAGCAACATTATCTGGATGAATCCAACTTGGTGTGTTTCTTTTCCAGGTGTGTCTGGGGGCTGAGGCTGAGGATAAGTTCCACATGGTGGAAGTGGAGGGTCTCACCTATGATGGGAAATCAACCAAAGTCCCACTGGTTGCCCTGAAACCGTCCGTCATGCCCTCTGTGAGTGACAGCATTTAGGGATGTATTTAAGGGACTACACAATATTATATAAATCAAGAAAAGGCACATATATGAGCAGTATATGGACATTTGAATGTAACATCACAGTAGCTTTAAGCCTCTTTCATGCTTAATGACATGACAAGAACTAAAAGGGACAACACATTCCAGTGTTTCCCCTACCATTGTCTTGGCGGGGCGCTGCGCCCTGCCAACGGAGCCCCGCGCCCTGCCTGAAATTAAAAAAAAAAAAATATATATATATATACCACCAAATTGCAACTGAAGTAATCTATCTACGGTCACTTTTCACATGTGCTCATTTAGTAAATAAACTAAATGCCTATGTTATTTATCCAATGTGCATGTTTCAGTGTCCACTGCTTTGCGTATTCACATTCTCCCTCCGCTCTGTTTCTGGACGCTCTGCTCCCCCCC